ATATATATATATATATATATATGCATATGTGATTTGTGCAGAAACTCTGAAGTACCCTTACTTTATAGACTTCTGTAGTAAGGTCTGGGAATTGTTTGATTTTTAACAAATATTTCTAATGACATGGCTTAGAAAGCTTCATATTTTTGATACTGCATGCATGTTTTAAGATGTTCTGAAACAACATTCTTGATTTTACAATGAATAAACGGTTTGCTTAGCATTTTGTTCAGCTACTTTAAGAAAAAGTGATAGTGCTGTAGATGTAAAGCAACTTCCCACTGGCACTAACCAGTTGTTGTCTAATCTTTGCTTACTATCTTAATCTCTCTGTTGAGATAGTAAAGAAAAAAGCCTATAAAGCCTTTTATGTTTATATGTTAATATTATGAAGAACTAAAATTATCAGTGGGCAAGGCTGCAGAATGTTGGTTCTGATCTTCATTTCAGTCTTGCATTCTGTAACAAAACATGTTTTTAGAGAACCGGGATGTGACAGTTCTCTGGAAAGCCAGAGTTTGTTCGTCTGTCCATCCGCTTGCTTCCCTTACGAACCTCACTGTTTTGTAGCTAAACTGCTTTTGGTGGTTTTCTTTTTTTTTTTAAAGGGATGAAGAGGGGAGATAAATAGCAAAAAATGAATGCCCAGCCCTTCTCCTAGGTTTTTGGGTTTTTTTAGTTAGCGTCCATAGAGACAGATTTTGTTTGGGCCAGCAGGGTTTGGGATGCTGTGAAGGCAGCATGCTTTGCCTTGCGTGTGGAGTCCCTAGGGTCACTCCCTGGCACTCAGCAAGTAAGGCAAACAAGGCCCTCACCTCTCTGCTTCGGAGAGATGGAGGCTTAAATGCCAAGCCAGACTTCTGAGGCAAAAAGTGGTAGAAATAAAAAGGAGGAAATACCTAGGACCCGAAGAGCAGCAGGAACAGGAAGATCATCTACCCCAGAAACAAAAGAGATGTAATAAAGGCACAGCAGTTGATCTTGCAGCTGCTGGTTCTGGGAGAGTGGATGGAAATGTGTTGCTAGTTGTCTTGAGATTAAAAAAACCCTAATATTATTGATTCTCTGCCAGCCCTTTGTGATGGCTGTTGTTATGGACAGAGTACTGATGTGCCATTTCCAATTGAAAAAGTAGACTAAAACATTTCCTTAAACTTTTATATGTATGTCCATATCCATCTTAAATGTAATTTACTTAATTACCATATGTGGGTAATTCTTTATTAGTTAGATCCATCTTAAGACATTGCTGTTTATCAATATTTATCTCTGTTCATTGTACACTTGGAGGATGAATCCCTAAATACTTGGATTTGTCTAGAACCCTGTTTAAAACTGCATAGCTGCCGTAGTATTAATATGCAAAACACTCTAATGTAGAATCAGTAACTTGTTACTTTGAGATATATATATGAAAGCTCAAAAAAGCAGCTTAAATTGGAGTAAAATAATAAAAACTGTATGGTTGAATCATTCTTCAAAGAATATAATTCATCTTAAATGTAGCAGATCTTCTTCATGTATCTGCTTTAGCAAAATTGTCCTAAGGGAAGGTGAATTGTAGATGCAGTTATGTCTAAATTCAGAGTTTTAGTGATTTCTCTAAATTGTAATGGTATGTAGTATTAATATGCTTCCCTCTGTTGGAGGTAAGTTGACTCCTTTTTTCATAAGAGCAAACTGTTGGGTATCAAAGTATCTTTCTCAAGTATTGTCTTTCTGTTGCCATCTGTAAAACAGATCAAAATGGACTTTTTTGAACTACTAGCTAATCACCACCTGGACAGTCAGTCTCGCTGGAGCAAAGTGAAGGACAAAGTAGAGACTGACCCCCGTTACAAAGCAGTGGATAGCTCTTCACAGCGGGAAGACCTTTTCAAACAGTACATCGAAAAAATAGCTAAGGTACGCATGTGACATTTGGAAGTATAACTTTGAATGTTCTGCTGGTCACATCTCTGTTAATGTGTGAAGTAACTAACTAGAAGATAAACTAATGTGCTTTAGTTCCACACTAAAGAGAATTCTATAACATGGTTATTTGTAGAAGTACCCCAGAATGACAGTTTGAAACTTAGTATTATCCCTGATGGCAGTGTTGCTGCAGACGTTCATGGTACGTGTATGCATGCGTGCATACACACACATGGTATTCGGGAGAATTTATCCAGCAGAGCAAGAAAGGCTCCTGTAAAGCCATTGGTTGCAAAAATGTCTGTAAAACTTCAAAAAATACAAACACCACATTGATTGCTTCCTACCAGGATGGGCAGTTTCCTTTGCTGTGACTTTTTGTATCAGCTAAGCTTCCTTCGGGAATGTAGATGGTTCATACACAGTTCCTTCGCTGGTTCTTCTCTCTTAATCCAATATTCCTACCTTTCTCTGCCAGGCAAATAATGGTTGAGCATATAAAACTGGGCTAACAAATAGTGATACTACTCTCCCCCGTCACCCCATTATTCAGAGTTTGTCACCGTACACAAACAACATGTTCCTGAGAATAGTCATTCTGTGATCAGCATTATGACCAAACTTCTCTTCGCCCCGTGTAAACTCTGTAGTGCTTCAACATAGCTGTTGAGGCAAAATGTTGTAATCAATAGATCTCAAATAACTTTGAAGTATTTTGTTCCAAGGTGCCTTTAGTTTGACAACCCTTTAATTTACTTACCTGTCTAATGAAAATATGAAAGATGTTCTGTTGTTTTTACTGAGAAAAGTTTGTTCCTATGTTTCAGAATTTAGATTCTGAAAAAGAAAAGGAGCTGGAAAGACAAGCTCGCATTGAGGCAAGTTTGCGTGAACGAGAAAGGGAAGTCCAGAAAGCTCGTTCAGAGCAAACCAAGGAAATTGATAGAGAACGTGAGCAGCACAAACGGGAAGAAGCTATACAAAACTTCAAAGCGCTTCTGTCTGACATGGTGAGATATGGATAGGCTTTCTCAGCTTGTCAGTGCATTCTTCTTCTAATTGTTGCACCATGTAAAAGCTTTTTGGCATTTGTAGTTAAGTTTTTATAGAAATAGAATCCTGTCATCTTCCCCCTGCTGCCCTCCATTCCCTGTTGGGAGTTTTGCCTTGGTTGGAAGAGAATGCTTTGCATTTAGGCTTTATGTTCTGGCATCTTGCCCAGGAAGTTAGTGGGTAGCATTATTCCTGCTGTGTTTCTCTGGAGTTTCACAGGTGATGGCAGGTTTTCAGTCATGCTACTGTAAACTTCTGTATGTCTGTTGGAAAATGAGGTATTGTTGAGCATTAGGAATAGTCCCTTTATTTTTGCGTGTTCTCTCTTCATGCTCCAGACACAGTGCCCTTAACTGTTTCTCTGCTATGTTGTATGTTTACTTTATTCTTCTGGTCAAGCTAATCTGTGAGAGAGCAGTTCCTGTAAGGTGAATAACCTATTAAAAGGACAGGATTAGCAAAATGAGTTTTCACCAGTATGCGTACTATGCCTTTGCTCCCTGGTGTAAGATACAAAATCCAAACATGTTACTAGTGCTTGGTTCCACATTTCATCACTGAAATCTTTGTAAGGGGCAAGGTATAAACAGCTCATCACTCTGGTCTTGTGGTATAGCTAGTAACATAGAGAAACAGCTCCTCGAAGATGCTCTCTGGGCTAGAACCAAGGCACTGCAAAGCTCCTAGTGGCTCTTTGGAAATAATTATCTCTGAGACTGCCTTTCCAGACCACTTACAGTTAATATAGGATATTATGCACAGAGGAGGAGGGTGTTGGTTTCTTTCTTTTTTTTTTTTTTTTGAGAGAATACTCAGCCAGGTCAGTGGGGTATCTCCATCTGCATTTGAACTGATGCAAAGTAATTCCTTCTGCCACTGCCTGTTTAATATTTGTGGGGAAGCTACTACAGTCTGTTGCTTAAAGGCTGTTTTGTTTTTTTCATCTTTTAATTTGAACCTTAATTTAGAACAAGAGAAATAAAAAAACCTAAGCAGTATATAAGAAATATCAGTGAACTGCAGAAAAAGATGGTTTAAAAAAAACAATCATCTTTTGTCTCAGGTGCGTTCTTCAGATGTGTCATGGTCTGATACCAGAAGGACTCTCCGCAAAGATCATCGATGGGAATCTGGCTCCTTACTAGAAAGAGAAGAAAAAGAGAAGCTCTTTAATGAACACATTGAAGCACTTACCAAAAAGAAGAGGGAACACTTCAGGCAACTTCTGGATGAAACTTCAGCGGTAAGAGCGTTATATATTCAAACTTCAAATCTTTGCCAGCCCGTTGTGATTTATCTTTTTCTGGTTTTCTGTCACATAGGCTGATTTGTTTGCTTTTATTTCCAGGGCACCTTTGCTTCACTACTACCTTTTTCTTTTTCATAACAAAATTTGTGCATTGTTTCCTTACCTGTTAATCTTGAGTGTTATTTTGTTTTAACACACAGTTCATTTACATTTAAACTTCTAATCAGTGATCTTTTTATCTCCTGCAGGGTGTTACATTTCTTCAACACTGAGTTTTTTGATACTCTTTACTATATGGCATCTTGCTCTTTCAGATATACAGTGTTTGTCTTAATGAATATCAGTATATAATCATACCAAGTTCATCTGTTTTGATGTTCTCCTGCTTTATCTTGTGCTACTGAATCTGAACTTCTGTTCTGTGTAATGCTATGGAAATCTATCACCTATTGTGTGTACTGTGGGGCTTTAGTGAGTCTTGCTCTTCTTTAGTTATCTGCCAACTTCGGTCAGCTTTCTTTTAACCCAAAGGTGTTTATCTCATTTTTTAATGCATTAGTTAAAAGTGCTTAGCACATTAGGCAGATTTTTAGTGTGATAGAATAAAATGACAGACATGCAACTCTGAAGCAAGTTTTCTGTAGGTAATTTTTAACAACACATTCATATACATAAATACATACTGGAAAAAGACTTTGGGATGTAAATGATGTTTGTGAGGCCTTTGATCTGAAAATCCCATCTCAAAATACTAAAGAAAAGTAAATATATAAAATCAACTAATTAAAAATACAAATGTACAACACTTAAAAATACAGCAACAACTTGTCAGTGGACTTGAGATATTTAAAATCTTCAGATGTAGTAATATTTACATTCTCTATTCTTAGAATCTTATTTTCTTTTAACTATTTTTGCTTCTTTTGAAAGATAACTTTAACATCAACATGGAAAGAAGTGAAAAAAATCATTAAAGAAGATCCAAGGTGCATTAAATTTTCTTCAAGTGACAGGGTAAGTACTTTGCATCACTGTTGCTAAGTTTCAGTATAATGCAGGACACAGAGTAAGTTAATGGGTGCTGAAGTGGTTCCTGCTTTATGTGAACAGAAGGATTATTGTTTAAGATTTTTTGTAAATTAAAAATGTAAAAGATAGGAAAAATATAATTTACATGTAATTATTGCTTATGTTCAGTATGTTAAGTTGCATGGAGCACTTAATCTGCATTCAGTGTTTTAAACTTACCTTTTTTCTTTCAGAAAAAACAAAGGGAGTTTGAGGAGTACATTAGAGACAAATACATTACTGCCAAAGCTGACTTCCGAACACTATTGAAAGAGACCAAATTTATAACATACAGGTGTGTAGCATATGTCAACAAAGGACTAATCTTTTTATTATGCTTTTCCATATAAATTGCAACAAACTGATGTCTGTTTCTTCTTCTAGCATAAGCTGATGTCTAAGTTACACTTTCACAACCTTTCATAACTTGTCAAAAAAAAAGTTTACAGCAGCTAGAGACCTCTTTTTGCTTTATTTTGACATTTCTGCTGCTGACTAACAAGTAATGAAAATCAAACCAACACAGGTGTGAGGTTCTCTTTCGCTTCGGAATAGTATTCTGTGAGTAGTACCCTGAGCTGTCAGGCCTTAAAATAATTTTGTGCTGAAGGGCCTTCTTTCATGTTTGTATTAGTCCTTGGTTTAGGCTCAGGAGGGATCAACACTGAAGTGAGGACTCTGTTTCAGGACTTTGGAGTAGACAGCAAAGAAATATTGGCTCCATTGAAATTTTATTTAAAAAAAAAACAAAAAATAATTTGCCTGATTTCTGCTGGAGAATTTCATTGAAACGGTGTGTCTTACAGGTGGGTAGATTTACAAAGCAGTTGACTTTTTCGCTCAGTTTCAGGGGTTGGTAAGGCAGATACAGAATCTTGGGTATGGTCCAAAACAAGTTTCCTATCAGAAACATGAGTTCACTTAAAAAGCAGAAGATGAAATTAAGTTCCTTGGATCCTAACGAATTGCATAGCTCCTTTGCAGTCAGCACTGTAGTGTTTTGGAGTTCTGGTTTCAGGTGGTGCTGCTGTCAGTGAGCTGAATGACAGTGCTCTAAGATGGTGTGTGGACACAGTTAATCAGTCAAGCTGGACTGTAGCTGAGAATTACACATCCAAATTCTAATTTGCCTCATTTAGGAGCTGAATTTAAAACTATGATTTTTTTTGTTGTTGTTGTTCCCTCTGGGTTTTAGCATTTGTATAGTTCACGTAGTGCTATACAAGGTCATTGCAGCCAGACATCAGTATTCCATGGTCCTTAATTAATGTACCACAAATGTAGCAACAAGACTTTATTTCCTGTGTGTAAAGTACTCTTGGTGTGCCCAGTCCTAACATAAAGCAGCATCTTTTTAGCTAAGATACCTAGGTCTCTGCACCCTTTCCCTGCTTTGCCTTTCCATTGTCTCTGCCTGTGCTTTCTTATGGTGAGGGCAGCTTCTACGAGCTCAGAGCAGGGAGGGTTCCCGGCGTGTTCTGTGCATCCTGGGACACTCTCAAGTGGTGATTCTTATGCTTGCTCTCAGATCCAAAAAGTTGATCCAGGAGTCAGATCAACATCTGAAAGATGTAGAGAAGATACTACAAAACGACAAGCGATATCTGGTACTTGACTGCGTACCGGAAGAGAGACGCAAACTCATTGTGTCCTACGTAGATGACCTGGACCGTCGAGGCCCGCCTCCACCACCCACAGCTTCAGAGCCTACAAGACGAACAACAAAATAGTTATGAAGTACTCTTAAGCCAAGGGTATCTCTTAAATCAAAAAGCTTGCATGAGCCATCTGTCAGGTTTATACATATACATTACCGTGAATATATTGCAAAACCATCTGAGGAGCAGAGGAAGAAGCAGCATTTGTGAACATAAAATGGTCTCTGAGGGAGGGAAACCATCAACAAAAACCCCACGTTAAAGATATTTATAAAGATATTTTTGGGGCATGACTGACAAAATTCCGAACATGTGGGCTGTGTTCGGAAACTTCAGATCTCAGAGCAATGCAGTATCTGTATATGAGGTGTGGATGTCTGATATTTGGAGGCGTTCTGCTCAGCAGTGTCATACATGTGAGTCTTAAGGATAATCACGCTTGTGGTTTGAACTTGTACTACGTGTGTGCCACCAGCTTCCTAATGGTTACCCACGGTCCCTGGCTGAGGAGGTGAAATGCTGTCTGATAGCTTAAATTATTGATTACTGAAGACCGCGTTCTGGAAACGCAAGTCCCAATTCTCTGCTTGCTTTCACCCTTGTAAATGGAACTAAATCTATTAAAGCCAGAGTTAGAGAGGAGAATTAGGACTAAGAGACCAAATTAAATTTGTTCACAGGTCTGCTTTGTTCCTTACCCTATCCATGAATTAGAAGCAAAATCAGGTTGCTCTGCCCAAGTGAAGATTTGTCGAATAATTTTTACTCGAAGTTGGAAACACTTGGTAAATAACAGTGGTTACTGGAGCAGAACAGGACGGTTGTATAAAAACATTTTTATTTACGATAAAGTGATCTTTACATACTTCTGGATTAGACTGTGGATTTCCCCTCTGGGCAATTCTTGTAAACTATACTCCTGTTTTGAATGTTAAACTTGTGTTTCTAAAGTTTAATTTTGAAACGTTGGGATTGTTCAGTTTATGTATTTGAACTACAATAAACCAACCCTTTTTATATATGGATTGTACAGGCCTAATACCAGTTTTTGTTGGATTTTGTTGGACTTGTGAATTTACAAGTAAAAGCAAACAACTGAAGTCATATTGCCTTAATTCTTGGCTGTGTTTGGCAAAACAGTACCTGTGGCACTGTGCAACATCAGATTAAACTTCAGCAGCAGCATTCAGGTCTGCATACGTGCAATGGGGTGCGGAGCAAAATTATTTTCTAGTTCAGTTCTTTAGTCTTTTTGCTTAAATATGAGATGGTAGGGATGGCAGTGTCAAAGTACTTCCTTCTGTTTCTACTGTATCTGACATGGATCTCTTCCTCTGAGCTGAGGGGTGGGGAAGGATTGATTCTTCCTTGAGAAATTGATTTTTTTTTTTCATTTTTTTTTTTTTTTTTTTTTTTTTCTTCAGCAATTACTGTTTTGGTGGCCAGCCATTGGGACTTGCAGTCCAAGCACCAAGATGGAAGGTTGTTCACAAAGATTTAGACAGCTTGGGAGGGTTTTGTACTGCTGACATCTGAAACATGGCACTTGTAGTAAGAATGTACTCCCTTGCAAACAGAACAGCAAGAGTGATTTTGATTTTAAATTTCTTTAAAAAAATCTTCATTTTTATGAACAAACGAAGTCTACTAAGCCACAGCATGGGAAGGTTCGAAGTCGAAGGATGACTCCAGCAGGCAGCAGTGATGTGAACAGACAGGTCAGCTCATTTTGGTGCTCAGCTGCCAATGGCACAAGAGCCCTCTGAACCCCTGGGCGTGGGGTGGGCACCCGGGGACCCTGCAGCCGTCCCTGCACGCGGCGTGGCCTGTCCGCGCCCGCCAGCCCAGGCTGTGCCCTCGTGTCTCCTCAGGTGCCCTCTGGGCCAGGACACTGTGTCCGTGGCTGCGTCTGGCATCTGGAAGGTGTCCAGTGTAGGACATGGGTGGTGGGAATTGTGGCAACGCACTGGCTCGCTGTGAGCGCACAACGTCGCCCCACTCTGCCATAAATGAATGTCTTTTCACTCAGCTTAACACGTCCCTGCAGGAAGCCATGCATTTTTTATGCCTGTTTCAAAATATGGTTAACTTGTTCATTAAATGAATAAGATTTCTATTAATTTTAATTTATCTTTTTTATGGAGACCAGATGTTCATTAACATTTATTTATCCGCTTATTCTGTGGATAAAACAATTATGCCTAACGTA